AAAAAAATCGCAGAGGGAAGAAAGGAAAAGGAAAAAGGAGGAGGAAGGAAAAAGAGGAAAGAAGGAAAAAACAAAACAAAACAAAACAAAACAAAACACAGGGTCACCCCTTAGCTGAAGGTCTATTGCAACAAGATAGCCCTCGACTTGCCCTACTAGATGAGATTTTTTTAAATTTTGGTATCAAAGTATTGCAAATGAAAGAATATTTGAAGGAATTTCATCGAAAATTATTATTATTATTATTATTATTATCATCATCATCATCATTAAATGATACGGGTATACGTAAGAATGTACTACTTATGCATAGCTGCTCAAGGAAGCTCAAGCTAGAAAAAAAAAAAATGCAAAATTCTGTTTAAAAAGACCAAATTGGTCGTAATCTGCGTGCCAAAACGAGGTACCCATGAAGGCGGCGCGGTCTTATGGTTTAGGGCGCTAGATTCGTAATCCGGAGGTCCCGAGTTCAAATCCTCCTCCCTGCTACTAGATGGATTTGTGTCTGGTGTTCCCAGATTCAACTCCTCCACGCTTTGTAAAAATAAATAGCCAACTGGTAAGCCTCTCGCCAGTTGGTGTTTTAACAAGTTTCTGTTTAATTTACAATATTTGTTTGCTTATTTGAGTGTCCCCAATTAGTACAGCAGTGCTAAATACTTCGACACTTTAATAAAGTGGTTTATTTATTTATTTTATTTTATGTATCTGTGATTAACGGATGATACAAAATATTCCGCGAGAGATGAACAAACAACGGCTGAAAGTCTCCTCGTCACTCAGCAAATCATGGAGAATGTATCTGTATAAAGCATTAGTCTAAGATGAACAGCCCGTCACCTTCAGTAAGATACCTTGGAGAGTTTTGTCCAATTTTTTAAATGAAATATAGGACCTTTGATTCCTCATCCAACGAATAAAGTCTTTTCATTCCACCTATTATAAAATCCCTATTTATTTCTGATATACATACTACATAATTATCCAAATTACCTTATTTTTATGTCGGCGTCACTAGCGCTACTAACTTCAGAGAATGTCAACCGAGACACGTCACCCCAGAACTTCAGTGCTTTACCAAATATCTGTTTATGTTTCGCCTATTGGAAATTCAGACGAAAAGAGGTAATGGATTATTATTTTAATTTCGGCACATTAACCCTATTTAGCCTTGGCTTTGCCATTTTTCTTGCGGCCTGGGGAGTTGTGCCCCGTTCTATCTCTAAAACTACTTAGTAATTAATCCGAGGTGTAATTACCTCAATTTGTGTACGTCATATCAAGAAGT